AGAGGCCGGGCGGCGCTAGGAAGGGGCCGGGCGGCACTAGGAGGAGGCCGGGCGGCACTAGGAGGAGGCCGAGCGGCACTAGGAGGAGGCCAGGTGGGCGAGCGCTAACAGCAGGCGCGACAGGGGCCAGCGGGCGCGACGGGGCCTAAGGGGCGCGACGGGGCCCAGCGGGCACGACGGGGCCCAGGGGGGGCGCGACGGGGCCGAGGAGGCGCGACGGGGACCAGCGGGCACGACGGGGCCCAGGGGGGCCGCGACGGGGCCTAACGGGCGCGACGGGGCCCAGGGGGGGCGCGACGGGGCCTAGCAGGCGCGACGGGGCCTAGGAAGCGCGACGGGGCCTAGGAGGGGCGCGACGGGGCCGAACGGGCGCGACGGGGCCCAGAGGGGGGGGACGCGACGGGGCTTAGGAGGCGCGACGATGCCTAGGAGGCACGACGGGGCTCAGCGGGCTCGACGGGGCCCATGGGGGGCGCGACGGGGCGTAGGAGGCGCAACGGGGCCCCGCGGGGGCGCGTTAGGGCCTAGGGGTCGCGACGGGACCCAGCGGGCGCGACGGGGCCCAGGGGGAGCGCGACGGGGCCTAGGAGGCGCGACGGGGCCCAGCGGGCACGACGGGGCCCAGGGGGGGCGCGACGGGGCCTAACGAGCGCGACGGGGCCCAGGGGGGGCGCGACGGGGCCTAGGGGGCGCGACGGGGCCTAGGAGGCGCGACGGGCGGAAGCGGTAGGCGGGGGGATCCTAACCTAAGCGTGATACCATGTTAACGTAGAAACGAATGATTACTAGAGGTGGAAACCTAGAACAAATACTAGTTGGTTGTACTCACTAGAAGCATACCTCAGTCTAGCCTATAACTTCTACATAGATAATATGTATAAGTTGACATCTTGCACTCATGCACAGGGCTGACGTTTCAAAAAAAGGCACTCTGAGCTGACCCCCCCCAAAAAAAAAAAAGTCTGAATGGCCTTCAGCCAGAATTTAGGGACTCTGAAATGTCAGAGTCCAGAGATGTGCAACTCTGAAATTCTCAGGATCGCGAAAATATATTCAGGGTTACATTTTATGTTATTAAGAAGAGCTCTTTCTTGTGTATTACATTTTGCTACATTGGACAGGAGCCTACAACTACTACTACCAAGCAATCACTAGCTAACAGGCTCCTAGAACTCCGGCACATCTGCAGTAATCTCATCATCACCCCCCTCATCGTCGGACAGGAAAGGGTCGTCGCCTAATGTTGGAGCCGCATCATTCTCATCATCACCCCCATCCTCCTCAGCCCACCCCTACCCCGCGTACTCTGGCACCTCCCCCTGTCCTTCATCCGTTGTGTCCCCCGCCACCTCACCCTCTAGGGCCTTCCCCTTGCGTTTTCGTTCCGCTCTTGCGAAGACAACAGATCGTGCTGGCCGTCTCAGCTTCTCTCGCCAGGTCGCTAGGGCTTCGGTCCAATTGATGTCATACTGCAGCAGCGAGATGGCCATCAACTCGGAGAGGCGCGCGTTGCAGAGTGAGCCACGGACCCAGGACTTAATCACATTCTGCCGAGAGAAGCCCCTCTCGCATTCGACGGTTGACAAAGGCAGCACGGCGCAGGCCTGCCAGAGGCGCATCAGATTGGGCCAGCGCCTGACACGGGGCACAAAAACAAAGGCGGAAGAAAGGCAGTAGGAAATGCATACAGTGAAGGCGGATAACAAAAAGATGCGGTTGGCAAGGGCGGCGATGTTGTGCACACTTGGCAAGTAGAATGGAAGGTGGTGATTCAGAAACGACAATATGGTTGGACTTGCCTGCTTGAGTCCGTCTTCGTGAGGTAGTTTGCCAGGCCTTGGTGGAAACTCTCCACCTCGTGATGATTCTGCATGATCGGCGCCCAAGTTGCGAGCTCCCTCTCCGCTGCCTTCACGTCGAAGCCTGGCAGCTTGTGCTCGAAGATGCCGCTGCATCCAAGCAGATACTCTCTCGTCTTTTTCTCGCGCTGCGTCCGTTCTCTCGGCCACTTCGCCGCCACCCAGAGCTTCGTCGGCGACATCTTGCGCAGATCCAGCATCCCCTCTTGTACGTTGGTCATGGTATCCTTGGCGTGCTTCTGGCACAGCTGCACGCAGTCCTTGTAGCTGCTTCCGTACTGGTGCTTGTCGAGGTGCCGCTCGTGCATCTTGTACGTATGGGTGAAGGGGTTCCCCTCCAAGTCGATACCGCGCACCTTCACCCGCTTCGTTCCGCCGCGCCCGTACACCGTGAGGAACGCCGAGAGCCAGGTGTTTTCGGCGCCGACACCGAAAATCTCCCCGAAGTCGACATAGCGGTGCCGCAGATCCCCCAGTGTCGCGTCGATGTCCGTTGCCACCTCTGTGACATCGACCTGCGGTGTGAGGGGGGGGGGACACAGAGGAGGGAAAGACATGAGTACTTGCACCAGAGGAGAACACCATGCTTGCAAACATGAGCATCTTACCTCTCGCTTCTGAAACCTGAGGTTGAGGTCGTTCATGAGTGCCAGCATGTCGGCCAGGTAGAAGAGGCAAAATTGAAACTTATACGAAATCACAACCTCATACAGGGGATGCTCATACTCATACAGCAGAACAATCGCAGCACCCAACACTTTACACAGGCGTCGGATTGCCTCTCCCCTGGACAACCATCGAACTTGATGGATGCATTGAACCTTAAGGTTGGTGCTGTGAATCGCCCACTGCAGATGCTTGAAACGACTGCTCCATACGCTCGACCGGCCGAGAAGGTCCGCAAGGGTGCGAGTGACTTTGTCGACCATGTCGAGGTCTGGACATGAAGCGGCAGCATCCTTCACAGCAAGTGCTTCTCTGCATGTACCGACATGGGTAGTGGTTAGCACACAGAAACATAAAAAGCATAAACAGACAGCAAGGAATACTTTAACAAACCTGTGGGCGATGCAGTGGGAGGAAAAAAGGTGCGGGATGATGTCTCGCAGTCGCGCCACAAGCCCGTTGTCTCGGCCAACCATCACCGACGCGCCGTCTGTGCTGATGCCAACGATGCGTTGAAGGTCGATGCCGGACGACTCCAGGTGGGCTAAGAGAGTGGCCATAAGAGAAGCGGCGTCGCACTTGTCAACGTTTAGCAGGGCTAGGAATTCGGTGACGACTCGACGCAGCCGCATGAATGTGATGTAGACGATCAAGTGCTTTCCCCGCGTGCGGTCGGTGCTTTCGTCGCATGAGATGCCGAGGTAAGGTGAGCTCTTGATGTGCTCCATCTGAGTAGCCAGCAGATGCGTAGAGAGACAGTTGACCATCTGCAGGATCCCGTACCTGCAGTGGCATAATCAGAAGTGAGACACTGGTTAATTAGCATTGGAAATGCATTGAAATTTACAAGGTTCATATCAAAATCCAACCATCAACCGGCGAAAGCCAGGTAGCCTTACCTGGTGAGATATACTCCGTACGACTGGAGAGGTATGTCTGGTGTGTCTTGCTCTGCCATGAAACGAAGCAGCCGGGGAAACATGGCGATAGGAGCGTCGTTCTTGCAAAGAAATTCCACGCACTGCAAAAGACGGATGACGCGGCGGCCTTCAACATCGACGGTGGCGAAGCTTGTCATCTTCTGCTGCTTGTCTTCGATTTCCTTTTGAATCTCGAGCTGCCGGCGAATTGCCGCTTCGTGGACTGTCGAGTGTTCATGAATGCGCATCGTCTGTGTCTGGAGATCTCGCCCGCCGTCGCCTGGCCTTGAATACTTCGTCGTTTCTTTGCCGAAGGCTCGGCAAACGCTGCACTTAAGAGCGGGGTAGCCATCTTTAGTACGGGTAAGTACAAGCCATGGGAAATAACGCAGCCAATCATTCTTATACTTAGCCTCTGCGACTAGGTACTTCTGCTCGATCAATCCCTCTGTATTTAGCCTCGGTGGCGGCGGTTCATCAGGGCGGGTGACGGGGGTAGGTGAGCGCGGTGGTGAGGGAGGGCGAATCTGGCCACCATGGTTGATACGCTGCTGTGTATACTTCGGCGTACGTTGTTTCTTCGCCGAAGAGACAGTCGATGCGCAGGGCACACTATAACGAACGGTAGAGGCAGTGGCGCAGTCAATAGGATCCACTGGTCCTCTGCTAGAAGATGCTATGGCTGGTGGGAGAACGAAGGGAGCGGGGGCAGGTCTATTAGGCAACGATGGCTCATCGCGTGGGGTCTCGTTTACAACGGTTGTGGCGACAAAAGGCGGAGGAGCCGATGCGGCAACGGGCCGTAAGACGTCTAGGGCGCTCCTTGGTGCAAGGACAGGAACCTTACTGCTGCGCGGCTCATCACCGTCAGCTGGAGCATCGTCGTCGCCATCCTTTTCAGGCATGGCGAGAGGAGAAACGACGTGTAGGAAATGAAGACAGTGACTACAACTACGCCTGTGTCGAAATGAACAACATGAAGGATTTCCCCTCTAAAACCTGAAGCAGTGCGTTCGAAGCTGGTGGGTAAGGAACAACTGGAGAAGAAGGGGTCCATCAAACCCGTGTCGCACCTTTCTTGAAAGGCGTGACGCGGTTTCGGGACTTGTCCATGCACAACACATCGCCATGCTGCCTAGTCGATGTGTTGGCTGCAACTGCAGCCAATGGGGATGATGGCCAACCTCTGCAAGGCTGGCACAGAGGGCACGGGCCCGAGGTTCGCGCATGCACAGAGAGCAACAGAGCAGAATCTGTGGTCCTTAGTGGCTCGGCGTGGCAGCATTTTTGCTGCGCTGGGTAGCAGAGTGCCCACTGTGGGCAGAGTATTCATTGGACTTGGCGGATTTTTCAAGGAAGTGTGGATTCTCCACGTGACGCGGGCGGGAATCACTGATGGCATGCGAAATTTCTAGGGAACTTGCGTGCCCCGTGGAAATCTGTTTCAGGGTTCGTACCCGATGTACTCTGAAAACTCAGTATTGGGTTAGCGTGAACTCTGATTTTTTCAGGATCCCTAAAGTCTAAGTCTGAATCGATCAGGATTGGGAAAATGCCTTATCTGGAAATTCAGGTTTAGCCAAAAAACCGGTCTGAGATTTCAGACTAATCAGAGTAAATAGTCTGATAAAGTCAGCCCTGCTCATGCATACATGTCGAAGTGGGAGAATGAATTGAGAGCACATGCAGGACAGGGTTCATATATTGTGTTGTACCATTTATAGTCTGCACCTACCGGTAGTTAGCCTACAGTACATATCAACATATAGTTGTATATGTTATAGGCTAGATACCGGTAGGTGCATGCGTAGAGGGTACAGCACCACAGCACAAAACCTCCCTGTATGGCACAATCTAGTTCATTGCGTTATTCTGACATGGTATCACGCTAGGTTAGGTCCTCCTCCCCACCTACGCTTCCGCCCCTAGCCTTAGCCCTAGCCTTAGACCGCGCCCTAGCCCGTCACGCTGCGCTGGCCCCGTCCCGCCGCGCTGGCGCCGTCACGCCGCGCCGGCCCCGTCAAGCCGCGCCGGCGCCGTCACGCCGCGCCGGCCCCCTCACTCCGCCCCGGCCCCGCTAGATCGCGCCGGGCCTGCTAGACCGCGCCGGCCCCGTAACGCCGCACCGGCACGGTCACGCTGTGCCGGCCCCATCACTCCGCGCCGGCCCCGTCGCGTCGCGCCGGCCCCACTAGACCGCGGTCTCGTCACGCCACGCTGGCCCCGTCCCGCCGCGCCGGCCCCGTCACGCCGCGCCGGCCCTGCCATACGTCGCCGCGCCGAGCTGCCGAGCCGCTGTGCCGCCGAGCCGCTGCGCCGCCGAGCCGCTGCGCCACCGAGCCGCGCTGCGCCGCACCGCCGCGCCGCCGAGCCGCCGAGCTGCCGAGTCGCCAAGCCGCCGTGCTGCTGTGCCACCCCGACCTGCCGGCCTTGGTTCCCCCTTCTGTGCCGGCGCTCCCGCCGGCCGTCTCCATCGCTGCTCTCCACCGCCCTCTCCTCCTCCCCTAGCGGCGGTCAACTGCCGCAGCCGTGGCGATGGCAGATGCTGTGCTCCGACTGGACGCGGAGGGTCGGGAAATTGACTTTGAGGCGTGGATGGCGGACCTCCGCCGCTCGTTGAGGGGACATCGCCAGGATGGCCAGTCTCTGGCCGTTCACGTCGACGGTAAGATCCCCTGCCCCGACCCGCCTGCTGCCCTCTCTACCGCCCCCACGCCCGCTGAGCGTGAGGCCTTTGCAGCTGCTTAGCTCGCTCGCTCCGTCTGGGAGTCGCGTGACGAAGTTGCGCAGCTTGCTATCAGTCGCGCCCTCCCCCTGTCTGAGCGCCCCCGCTACCAGGCCCTAGAGATTGCGCATGCGTACTTAGATGCGATTATTGCATGCTATTCTACTCCCTCCTCCGCATCTGCCAGTCATTTGCTCTTCCCCGACCTTGCGTCTTTCCCACTGTCGCGGATCTCGCCAGTCACTTGCGCGCACTAGAGAATAGCTACCGCGCTGCTAGCACTGAGGCTCAGCTCCTTGTACTGCCTCCCCCCCTCGGTGCTACCCTCTACTTCCTTGCCACGTGCCTTCCTGACTGCCTAGCCATTGCCCGCGACCACTTCCTTGCCCTCCACCCTGCTGACCTTACCCTCACTGACTTTGTCATTACCCGGACCGCGATAGAGACCCGCCAGCGCACTATCGCTCAGTCGAGCGGTACTGCACTAGTCCTTATCTTCCAGGGCTGTGCTCCCTCCCAGTGCACTTACTCTGACATCTTTGCCGCTGTTGCTGAGACCGCTACGGCGGCCTCAGCGCACTTTCGTCAGGGTAGGGGACGCCGGGCCCGGGGGGGGCATGGCGACGAGAGGGGTGGCAGGGGTGGCGGGGGTGGCGGAGATGGCGGAGGTGGTGGAGGGGACGGTGGTGCAGACGAGGGGACCGGGGATGGTGCCTCCGAGCAGCAGCCTCATCATTAGCAGCACCACCAGCAGCAGCAGCCGTCGCAGTAGCAGCAGCAGTCGCCGTGGGCGCCCCCGCTGCCGTGGTGGACTGGCGGTTCTGGTGGTGGTGGGGGGTGCAGCTCGGTGTCGGGTGGCAGCTCCAGTGTGGACACCTTCAAGCACCAGCTTTAGTCCGGCCCCCGCCGGGACACCGTCTTTGACCGCCCCGGTCACACCGCCGCACGCTGCTACCGCCGCCTCGACGACCTCTTCTGTCTCCGCTTCGGCCCCACGGCGGACCCCCCCGACTGGTACAGTCTGGTGCGTCGTCGTGTGCTTGTCTTTGAGATGGACATGGATTAGATTAGGTCTGCTTTGTATGCCATGTATGCTGATAACTCTAGTGTGATTGGACCATATTACCCGGTGTTGCCTAGCATAGGTGTGTCCCCTGTGTGTAGTCTAGGTTCCCTTGCTGTGTCAGGCGTAGGAGCCCCTGCCTTGTTTAGCCTAGGCTCCACGCTAGCCCCTCCGCCGGCAGACGCTACTTCTTCGCTCTCCTTCACGCTCGACTCTGGAGCGTCTGCCTGCTTCTTCCGCAACCACACTTCGCTCACGCCTCTTGCCGCCCCTGCCGTTGTTGCGCTTGCTGACCCCTCCTCAGGTCTGGTTGTTGCCCGTAGCTCCACCACACTTCCCAGTCCGGCGGTCCCCTCGGGTTCTCTTACAGGCCTGCGCATCCCCTCGTTCTCCAGGAACCTAGTTGGTGTCGGCTGTCTTCAGGACCTCGGCGTCACCACTACGTTCCCAGGTCACGAGTTGTACGTGGTGCTCCTCTGACCACATTCCCCCGTGACCCTGTGTCTGGCCTGTTTACGCTTGACACTGCGTCCCCGCTGGTGAGGGCGCCCCTGCCTGCATCAACCCAGGTCGCTACGGCTTGCTCGTGTTGGTCGCTCACTCACCCGTCGCTGCTGTGGCACTACCGCCTAGGTCACCCCGCACTCCCGCGTCTGCCTCACATATCCCATCACGGTCTTGTCTTCGGTCTCCCTGCGTCACTTCCTGCCCTTCCTCCCTCGCCTGCGCCACCGTGCACGTCTTAAGTCAAGGGCCGGCTGTGCCATGCTCCTCACTCCTCCTCGCTTCCCCCTACCACTACGCCACTCCAGACCCTTCCCCTGGACTTTTGGGTCCCAGCTCCCGTCCCTGGGCCGCGTCGCGAGCGCTACTTTCTAGTGCTAGTCGACGACTACACGCGCTACACCACGGTGTTTCCCCTGGAGTGGAAGGATGACGTGCGTGCCATTCTTATGCCATGGCTTTTAGCCGTGCGCGTCCACCGCGCCCGGCCAGTGATCTGTCTCCAGTCCGACCATGGCAGTGAGTTTGCCTCCGGTCGGCTTGGCCAGTTCTGTCGTGCGGAGGCATCACCTAGTCGTACGCCTTGCCAGAATCCCCGCAGCAGAATGGGGTCGTTGAGTGACTCACCGGCTTGGTCATAGAGGTGGTTCGTACCTCCATGATCCATGTCGGTGCGCCCCATTTTCTGTGGCCGTTCTCAGTGCGCTACGCCGCTCACCAGCTTAACCGGTGGCCACACTCCCAGCGGCCACAGGTTTCGCCGACCCTCCTTTGGAACGGGTTCCTTGGTAACGCATATGTGTTTTACGTCTGGGGTTGCCTGGCTCATGTTCGCGAATCTTGTACGGACAAGCTCACCGCATGTACCGTGCCTTGTGTCTCTCTTGGCTTCCCCCTGGATGCGTCTAACTGGCACTTCTACCACCCGCCATCTCACCATTTCTTTCACTCGTGTGATGTCACCTTGAACGAGTCTGTCCCCTTCTACACCCGCTTCACTCACCGAGGTCTCCCGGTCACCCCACCCTTGTTCCTTGTACCCGCTCCCCCAGTACCTCCCGCTCCCCGTCATGCCCAGTCTGGTGTGTCTCACGTCACTGCCCTTCCCTTGGTTGCCCTGGCGGAGGAGTCTGCTGACTCTGGGAGCCCTGCTGCTCTGGGTCTGCCGCCTGCGCCCTACATCCCCGTGTCTTGTCCGCCACGCCGCAGCAGTAGCCACCGCAGCCGCAACGGTACGCGAGCTCAGGGGGTGCTGGGGGTGCGGGCGCTGAAGAGGGTGCTGCAATCGGGGGTGCTAGTTCTGGGGGGTACTGTTGTGGCTAGTCCTGGCGGTCGTGGGGGTGGCACGGAAGCTGGAGAGGGTACTTCACCTGGGGGTGTTAGTCCGCGGGGTGCTGTTGTGAATATACCCGAGGGTACACATGGTGTGGCTGGAGGCTCCGGTGTGGGCGCGAAGCAGCAGCGGCAGCAGCAGCAGTCGCCGCCGGTATCCGCCCTTTGCCTCCTCGTGTTAGGATTAAGGACGGAGTCTAGGTGAACTTAGGAGCTAGAATTACTCAAAATATAAATCCGAAATTCTGGACAGAAAAGTCGTCTTCACAAGAAACGACGTCGACAAACAACTAGCCGTTGGAATGTCGCGAAACTTGGATATGTTGTAGCTCTTAAGCTCAGCTACCGTTCCCAATTTGAATCATGTTGATTGATAAAGTATTCGCGACGCTATGGCTTTCGACGCACTAGGGGGTAAGCTGTAGGAGGAGAACTTAACTCAATCTCAAAGGTTCAATCAAAGTTCAAGAATCTCACAAGGAATTAGAAGGAGCAAGAGAAAGGTTGGGATAGGAAGAGAGGGATGAGAGGGAAGGTCCCAAGAGAGTCCCCAACCAAGGAAAACCCCATAAGCACAAAGATTCCCTCCCTATAGGAACCCCAACTTTGACATTTGTCCCTTCCCAACCAATCCATCCAAGTTGGCCACCCTTGCCAACCTAGCTTGGTTGTTCCCAACCAATTTGCAGCTGTTACAGTAGAGTGACAAGTTTCCCCAACCCCAAAGGTCCCAACTCCATATAAAGTCACCCCACAACTTCACTTAGTAACCGCCGCAATTGTAACGCAAGCTCATGAACTTTGAATCTTCATAGCTTTCGCGTTCTTGCTCCGATTGAAGCGATTCTTGTTGCGTCGGAAAGATCTTCTCAAGATCTATTATCACAAATACCTGCTCAGACAGAATAACACAAAACACATTCCCAAACTCCAGAACACACCACACACAAATGCTTGCACATTCAAACCACACATGCAAGTTGAAAAAACATGGGATGGGAGGCAGACAGAATGTGATAGCATATGATGACATCACACAACAATCTCCCCCTCTGGCTGCCAACCATCATCGACCATACCACATCTCAAGCATGCATACTCAATGCACACTCATCCCAGCAAGCTTCATGCCCTTCCAATGATCCGCCTCCGCCAGACGCTTAGTGAAAATATCTGCTGCCTGCTGATGGGTCTTCACTATCTCCAGCCGCACCTCCTTATCAAGGAGTCTCCTCACCCAATGCCACTTAGGCCTTATGTGTTTTGTCAGCCCATGCAGACAAGCATTCTTGGCGAGCTTCACAGCGGACTCATTGTCACAAAACACAACTGTCGGCTTCTCCTGACCAACTCCCAACTCCTCCAACAAACGCCTCAGCCATACCACTTCCTTGGCCCCATGGTGTAAGGCCATGTACTCAGTCTCACATGAAGACAATCCCACCTCATTTTGCTTCTTGCTGCGCCAGCTCACAGCACCACCTCCTAGCAAGCACACATAACCCCCAATGCTGGTGCCATCCGCTTTCACTGAGTTGAAGCTAGCGTCAGTATAGCAACTCAAGAGCATCTCTCCACTCTTCACATCTGCAGCACCTCTCTGCAACCGCTGCCTCACTCCACTGTACTCCAATCCCACTGATGCCGTAGCACTCACATAGCGGACCAACCTCTTGGCCGCTTCCAGCTGCTCATGACTAGGGCGTGAGACCACACTAGCCAACCGTGATGTAGCAAATGCAATGTCAGGCCGTGTATGATTTGCAGCATAATTCAGCGACCCAACCATCGAATGAAACAGCTTCCTGTCACTATCACCCACTACCTCCTCATCAGCACATGGCTCCACAGTGAACCCCGAAGGTAGTGGTGTTGCTGGCTTTCCCCCATCTTGCAGCCCATACTTCTCAGCCAGCCCCTCACAGTACTTCCTCTGGTGCAACCTCAGCACACCCTTTTCCACATCTCTCTCCACGTGCATCCCCAAGTAGTACTTCACCTCACCCATCTTGGAGCACTTGAACTGCATCTCCAGCATCTGCTCTGCGCTGTCCAGCAAAGCAGTGGATGCAGAAAAGAGAAGGATATCATCCACGTACACCAAGAGCATGAGGATTTCATCCTTCTCCTGCAGCAGGAACAGGCTGGGGTCACACTCACTCTTCTTGAAACCCCCAGCCAACAGCGCCTCCTCCAACTTGTGATACCATGCACGAGGCGCCTGCTTAAGGCCATAGATGGCCTTCTTCAGCCTGCAGACCCTGCCGCTCCCATCATCCAGCCCCTCTGGCTGCTTCATGTACACCTCCTCCAGAATGATCCCATTCAGAAAGGCAGTCACAATGTCCATCTGCCGTATCTTCCATCCCAGGAGTGCAGCTATCGCCAACAGCACCCTCAGTGTTGTTCCTTTCCCCACAGGAGCAAACACCTCATCATAGTCCTTCCCTTTTGTCTGCTGAAACCCCCTTGCCACAAGCCTAGACTTGTAGCGGGTCAGCTCCCCTTCAGGTCCATACTTGTGCCTGTAGATCATCTTGGAAGTGATTGCCTTCTTCCCAGGAGGCAAGTCACACAGGTCCCATGTCTCGTTTTCAATCAGGGACCCGAACTCCTCATCCTCACTCGCCTTCCACTTCTCCCCATTTGGTCCATTCAAGGCCTCCTCTCGAGTCTTGGGCTCAGGGATTGGTGCCCAGTAGCAGTGAGCGATCTCATCTTCCTCAATCTGCTCAACCACACTCCCAGCCTGCACCACATTTGGCTTGCCTCTTCCCCCATAGGTCAGCCTCACAGGAGGGCGCACATCCCTCCTAGGTCGCTCAGGCGGCTGTGGAACTCGAGGTGGAGACTCATGTTGCTGTTGCTGCTCCACTTCAGCTGCTCCCCCTTCTTCAGTCACCCCAGACATCTCCTCCTCTGACACTGCAACCTCCACCTGTCTTGAAGGGTGCTGCACCTCATCTGCCTCCACAATGAGCGGTGTAGATGGAAGCTTCTGTTGCTGCTGCTTCCATTCCTTGTAGTACAGGGACTCAAGAAACTTCACATCCCTTGACACTGTCAACTTCTGGGTGGTCAAGTCCCATAGCAGCCACCCCTTGTGATCCTTTGCAATCCCCAAGTGCACACCCCATCTTCCAGAAGCCTCCAACTTCCCCCTTTTCTCCTTAGGCACATGAAACACCACCATGCACCCAAATGCCCTCAGCATGTTCACAGCTGGAGCACTCCCATACCACTTGACGTATGGGATCCACTCCTTATCTCCAACTGTAGCCAGCACCCTGTTCTTCACAAGGGCGACCTGCCTCAGTGCAGACACCCAAAACGGATCAGGCAGCCCTGCACGCCCAAGGAGAGTGCGTGCCCCCTCCTGCAGGGTCCTGTTGAACCTCTCAGCCACGCCATTCTGCTGTGGGTTGTAGGGCACTGTCAGTTGATGCTGGATCCCCTTCCTCTTCAACTCCCCCTCAAAATCAGCTCCAATGAACTCCCCACCATTGTCACTACGGATCACCTTCACCTTGTGTCCGCATTCCCTCTGAGCTCTCGGCATCCACTCCTTAAGGACAGCCGCTGCCACCTCCCCCTTGCTCTTCAAAGGGTAAACCCACACTGCCCAAGTGTGGTCATCCACAATTGTCAAGAAATAGCGGCTGCCTGAGAGGGAAGGGGCTCTTGTGGGCCCCACCACATCCATGTGCACAAGTGCAAGTGGGGTCTTGGCTGGTCCTGTAGTGCTGTTGAAGGGGAACTTGGAGAACTTGGTCTCCAAGCATGTAGGGCAGCTCCCAATCTCCTTCACTCCCCCTTTCACCTCCAAGCCCTTCAGGCTCCCATCCTTCACCAACTTCTGCAGCATAGGGAAGTTCACATGACACAGCCTCTCATGCCATGTCTCCCAATCGGCCTCTCCACTCCTTGGTGAAGCCTTAGCCCATGCCGCACTCGCATCCACACCAGCAAGCACCTCACCATGTGTCTGCTGCTTCTGCACTTTCTTGACTGCTTCCAGGACCCCATCAGTTGGTGCAGTTGCATCTCCTCCTGCTGTTGCCTTTGCCGCTGCTGCCGTTGCTGCTGTTGGAGTCTTCCCATTCCAAGGGATGATGGGCAGCTGCCACAGGTCCTTGATGCAGCTGGTCTCCTCTTCCAGACTCCACAGCACCTTCTTCCCAAGCTTAGCACGGCAGCTGGTTGGTCCAAAGGTCACTTCGGCCTTACTCTTCTGCAGTCGCCGCACAGAGAGAAGGTTAGCAGACAAGCCTTTAACCAGCAGAACATTCCCAAGCCCCACAAGCTCCCCATTAGCTCCCTTAACCTTGGCATTCCCAACACCAATCACGGGGAGCAAAGCACCTGACGCTGCTGCCACATACTTAATCTTCCCAGGGGGTTTTACCTCATCAAGCAAATCTGCCCGTGGAGTCATGTGACTGGTGCAACCCGAATCAATCACCCAGTGCGTGAGAGGGTGCATCACAACCTTTCCCACAGATCCCACATCACCCTCATGCCCATGCACATCCTCAACCATAACAAACAAACCAGGATAGGCATTACCTTGTGCACCTTCACCTTGTGCACCTGAGCCTTGCACAGCGCCACCTTGTGCGCGTTCACCACTGGGCGGCTTCATGCCTGGAGGTGCCCATCCCTCCAGCCTGCTGAAGCACTTGAACCAAGGATGCCCAACCTTCTTGCAGTACCAGCACGTGCCCTCCATTCTGGTACTCCCCCTGCCACTAGAGCTCCCATGCCCCTCATTATAGTCACCTCGGCCTCTACCTCTGCCAAAGCTCCTCCCACGGCCTCGGCCTTTCCAACCCCCTCTTCCTCTGCTGCGCCCTGCAGCTCCATACCCCTCAGCAGTCTTAGTGGCAGCACCGCCTCCCACATGGCGTCTGCGGAAGTCCTCCTGCAGAATCTGCTGCCTTAGCCACTCAGGTGTCCATTGATCTTGCTGAGAGTTGAGGGTGGGGATGAGGTTGTCCCAAGAGTTGTCCAACACCGAGATGATCTTGGTGCACTGCTGCAGCTGAGATACACTGCTGCCCGCTGCTGCCATCCTTGCATAGGTGTCCTTGATCTTGTCAAGGACCGGCTTCACATCGTCCCCTGGTCGCATGGAGATGGCAGCAAGTTCCTTCTCGAGCACGATCACCATCGGGAGAGTGTTGGGCTGAACCACATCACGTAGTAGTTTCCACGCCCTTGGACCCGAATCATCCGCTTCCACAAGATCCTTGATGTGCTCGAACATCTCCTTGTTGACCGATTGAAGAATGAGGTCGAAAAGCACCGCGCTTTTCTCAATCCACCGTTCACGTGCTTCGCCTTCTTCCGGCATCTTCTCTTCCCCAACAGCAATCTTCAGGAGCTTGTAGCGTTTGAAGGCACTCCTCATCCGTCCGCTCCATTCCTCATAGTTGGAGCCATCCAAAGCTTCAACTTTTGATGGCGGCGGCTCACTTGTCTTCTCAGCTACAGCTCCTCTTCCATTAGCATCTCCTCCTCTCTCATTCATCTTCTCCTTGAGAAATGACGAATTTCAGCTCCCCTTTGCTGTCCACACTCAGCTCCCTCGATATTTTCACAAGTGTCGGCGTCCACGAAATTTCGGCAGAGTTTCCCCTTAGCGGAAGACACATCCAACCTTTAGAACACCACTTAGGCACACCCACAGGCCATGGTGGGTCTAGAAGGGTCTTCAAACTTCTGTAGACTCCTCTCAATGTCCTTAATATTGCTCTGATACCACTTGTTAGGATTAAGGACGGAGTCTAGGTGAACTTAGGAGCTAGAATTACTCAAAATATAAATCCGAAATTCTGGACAGAAAAGTCGTCTTCACAAGAAACGACGTCGACAAACAACTAGCCGTTGGAATGTCGCGAAACTTGGATATGTTGTAGCTCTTAAGCTCAGCTACCGTTCCCAATTTGAATCATGTTGATTGATAAAGTATTCGCGACGCTATGGCTTTCGACGCACTAGGGGGTAAGCTGTAGGAGGAGAACTTAACTCAATCTCAAAGGTTCAATCAAAGTTCAAGAATCTCACAAGGAATTAGAAGGAGCAAGAGAAAGGTTGGGATAGGAAGAGAGGGATGAGAGGGAAGGTCCCAAGAGAGTCCCCAACCAAGGAAAACCCCATAAGCACAAAGATTCCCTCCCTATAGGAACCCCAACTTTGACATTTGTCCCTTCCCAACCAATCCATCCAAGTTGGCCACCCTTGCCAACCTAGCTTGGTTGTTCCCAACCAATTTGCAGCTGTTACAGTAGAGTGACAAGTTTCCCCAACCCCAAAGGTCCCAACTCCATATAAAGTCACCCCACAACTTCACTTAGTAACCGCCGCAATTGTAACGCAAGCTCATGAACTTTGAATCTTCATAGCTTTCGCGTTCTTGCTCCGATTGAAGCGATTCTTGTTGCGTCGGAAAGATCTTCTCAAGATCTATTATCACAAATACCTGCTCAGACAGAATAACACAAAACACATTCCCAAACTCCAGAACACACCACACACAAATGCTTGCACATTCAAACCACACATGCAAGTTGAAAAAACATGGGATGGGAGGCAGACAGAATGTGATAGCATATGATGACATCACACAACACCTCGGTCTTCCCTCCCCTGACCACCCGACAGTGCCTCCCCCGGCGCCGCCTCCTCCGCCTGTCTACGACCCTGTGTTTCCTCCGTCGGACTCGTCGTAGGCGCGTTTTCCCCCTCGTTCTCCTTCTGTGTCTCCTCCTATGTCTCCTCATCCGACCCCTCCCTTCCACTTCTGGTCTCGCCCTCCCTCTCGTGCTCGTCCCGTCTCTCCGGTTCTGCATTCTCACCCTACGTTGCTCCGTTCTCACGCATCTCACGCTCCTCTCCTCCCGTCGCCTCCTCAATCGTCGCTTGTTGTCTCTCCCCCTCCTTTCTCTGACTTCCTTTGTGTTGCTTGCTCTCTTGTTCCTCGTGTCCTTGCCTCTCTTGTTGCCAGCCGCGTCCGTTCGTGTCTCCAGTCTTGACACTCTTGTCGCTGCCATCACTGACTTTGCCTCTACCCGCCGCCTTGACTACGCCAGCGACTACGAGCTGCACTCCCTCGACTTCTCTACAGCGTTCCTCGAGGGCAGTCTGCACGAGAAGG